GCAAGTATTATCTTTCAATTTGGTTAGCGTGATGCCTTATCCATTTTTAAACAAAAATAAGCTCTCTTTATTGAGAATGACATAATTTATGTATGTATTCTTCACACATAGTCATGTGTTTTTCTCATTTTGTGAACATGTTTTGTGACCTTTCATATCAAATCAAATTAATATTTTTTTAATGAATTATTCATTCAAAGGAGAATTTTACTTTCTTTAATTAATTTAATCGATGCTCAAATTTCTTCGATCAACATTAGGCATCATTGGATATTTAGCAAATCACCAGTGAAATAAAATTTTATCAATTAAACCAATTTTTGAAATTTTAAAACTAAAAGTTTCAAATACATGTCATTTTTAACATTTTTATGTATTTTTTTATTACTAGTACAATAGTCTTATAACTATTAGATTATATACTCTTAATCATTTTTTAATTTATATTTGTATATTTCATCTATATTCAAAAATATACGTATAACGTACGAAATAGTTACTATTATATTGCTATATAAAATGAAATGTTAAAAAGATAACAATTCATTATTAAAATATCACAAAATAGAAGTAATCACTTCATGTCAATTCGTCCACCCTTATTCAAGTCCTCACTTCTTAATTTGGATGTAATTTTCTTTTTACTAAGTGATGTGTCTTTTTTATTTTCTAAATTTTTATATCAAATCAAATTGATATTTTTTTTCTCTTTCGTTAGTTATTCATTTAAATAATTTTCTACCCAATGGGTGCAGCTCAGTTGGTTCCTTGGCGCTGAGTTAGTGGGGTTAGACATGTGTTCGATTCCCGCTGAATGCATTCTTGGGGAGGGGGCTGAACCTTTAGCCATCACTGACTCCCGCACTCCGGATTAGTCCCATAGCCGGCTCAAAGAGTCGAAGCTTGTGGGGATACCGGAGGGAGCCAACTCGCCTCAAAGAGGTAATTAGGGTTGGGTAATTCAAAAAAAATAAAATAATTTTCTTACTTTTCTTAATTATTTTAATCAATATCAAGTTCCTTCAATCATCTACCACAAAAAATTCCTTCAATCAACATTAGATATAATGAGATATTTGCAAACCATTAATAAAATAGTGTTCTATCAATTTAACCAATTTTTTTTTTTGTTTCTTAAAATTAAAAAGTTTCGCATGCTTTTTTAAATATTTTAGTTTACTTTTTTATTATCCACGGAATAATCTTTCATTAATTAAATTATCTTTAAATATTTTTTAATTCATATTTTTATATTCTATCTGTATTCAAAAATATCGATATAATCCCCAAAAATATCCAAATAATACATAAAACTGAAGATTTTTTAATTGTTGGATATTTATTTCAAGAAGAAAATTCTAATTTCTAATAACTAGTGCTAGGAAAATATTATAGTACTTTAATTTTTTACTCTCTGTTTTTTCCCTGACAACGATGATTTAATTCAAAGTTATTAAGGTGCACAATTTTTTTAATAAACTAATAATTTGAAACTAAATTGCTAAATTCATCAACTCACTTATACATTTTTTTTAACGGATATATATTGATGTGGAAATTCTATTAAATTGTTAAATGATACCAAATGTGTGTCTCTCATTGTCATAATGAATAGCTGTAGAAAAAAAAAGGAGAAATGTCAGAAAGTACCAACTCGACTCTCGAGTATGGACTTTAGGGCACCCCCACGCTATTGACATTGTAGTTCTAGTTGATTTCATTATTGTCTGATTATATAATATTTAAAATATATTAGGAGGGAAGACTTCGGGTTTTTTTGACTCTTTTATCTTTTATTAATTAATTAATAATTATTTCATCCCTTATTTGAAATTATCTATCAATCTGTTCCTATTTAATCGATTAACTTGAAGATTTAATCAATTAAATGGTCAAAACTGACAAAAATAATTGACATGAAGATTTAATCGATTAAATATCCCTCTTAATCGATTAAATTTCCCTCTTAATTGATTTAATAAATTAAAACTTATATTTAATCGATTAAATATACCAAATGAGCGTGAAAGCATTGATTGATTGTGTTTTGTATTTAATAAGAGCTGAGTGCGTTTTGTATTTAATAGGAGTTGAAAGTGTTTTGTATTTAATAGGTGTTGATTGCGTTTTATTAGGAGTTGTCATTTTACGAGTTGGTTATAGATTGTCACAAATTCAAATTTATTTGTAATTTGTAATTCTGAGCTTATTTATGGGAAACATTTCAATGAAATGAGTAAATATACCAAATGAGCGTGAAAGCATTGATTGATTGCGTTTTGTATTTAATAGGGGCTGATTGCGTTTTGTATTTAATAGGGGCTGATTGCGTTTTACATTTAATAGGAGTTGAATGTGTTTTGTATTTAGTAGGAGCTTATTGAGTTTTATTAGGAGTTGCCATCTTACGAGTTGGTTACGGATTGTTACCAATTCAAATTTATTTGTAATTTATAATTCTGAGCCTATTTATGGCAACATTTCCATGAAATGGGTAAATATATCAAATGAACGTGAAAGCATTGATTGATTGCGTTTTGTATTTAATAGGAGCTGATTGCGTTTTGTATTTAATAAGAGTTGATTGCATTTTGTATTTAATAGGAGTTGAATGTGTTTTGTATTTAATAGAAGCTGATTGCGTTTTATTAGGAGTTGACATTTTACGAGTTGGTTACAGATTGTAAAACGCAATCAGCTCCTATTAAATACAAAATGCAATCAATCAATGCTTTCGTGCTCATTTGGTATATTTAATCGATTAAATCAATTAAGAGGGAGATTTAATCATTTAACTTGAAGATTTAATCGATTAAATCTTCAAGTCAACCATTTTTGCCAGTTTTGACCATTTAATCGATTAAATCATCAAGTTAATCGATTAAAGATGGACAGATTGGTAGATAGTTTTGAATAAGAGGCAAAATAATTATTAATTAATTAACGAAGGGTAAAAAGGTTAAAAAGCCAAAGACTTTGTCAACATTAGTGTATCTTGGTTGAAAATCATAAAGTTAAATTAATTTTCTACCCATTAGTATTTTTTCATTTTTGTTCTTAGATTTGATTAATAGGTTAAAAATTATCTTCTTCGTTTGATATCAAAATTATGCATATATAATTATAAGATCCAATTTTTTATTTATTAAAATAATTTTAAATTTGCATATAGAACCTAAAGTTCATGATAAAATATTGTTTGAAATTTTTTGCAATTGATCTTGGAAACCTTGAGATTTTTATTCTACGAGATGAGAGTTTTTAACCATATATTATATACATGTTTCCATTGAGTATTATAAGAAAATTTAGAATACGAATTTCTGGGTTTTATTACATGAAAGTTTAGAAAATTTCTCAAATTATTTTTAATCGATACATTAAAACCGTAAATTGCTTTAGGTCTTTTGAAAAACAAGTTTTTAGTTATCTATTGACACAAAAATTGTTTGAAATTATTTCTTATAGTGAAAAAATTTCGTTCGTGAATGTATTGTTATGAAATAGATGGTTCATATTATGAAAGTTTAATCTTTCTTTAAATCGATCTTGTAACACGAAAATTAGTTTGAGAGTTTTTTGTTCCCCTGTTATTTTTGCACTGTTTTATGTTGTTTTTAATACAAAAATCATATCTTTTGTGCCAAGAAAAAGCGTAACTCATAGCTTGAAAAATTATTTTTTAAACTCACAAAAGCTCTAAAAAACTGCTTAAAAATCTGCAAAATTTAAGATGGATTATATTAGAATCTTGATGGTTCGTTGTTTCTGGGTTATTTTGAGACAAAAATCGCTAAAAAATCTGTTGTTTTTGAGCTTTGACGAAGCTCCCATGTCGGAACCCGATTTCTAGTGGGTCAACCCGTCAAAGAAAGAAGAAGATAACACAATAGAGAAATATCAAGAAATTCTAGGTGTTAGGGTGAGATTGTGAGAGAGACGTCTTATTTATATTCTCACTAAAAAGTCTCACAAAATTACACCAATAGAAAATGGGGAATGCTACTCTTATTTTACATGAGAGTAGTTCTCTCATGTTACATAAAGAAGCCATGTGGAACCCAAAAGAAAAAAGAAAAAGAGTATGAGATTTTCAAAGTGAGATAACATGAGATAATTATCTCATGTAAAATGAGAGTAATATTTTCAATAGAAAATCTATTAAAATCGTCATATTTTAATACCACAATATTGTTTTTATTTTGTTTAAAATTTTGATTGAATACCAATGAATTTTATTTAAAATAATCTTTTAAAATCCTAATCGAATACCAATGAATTTTTAATTTAAAAATAATCCATTAAAATCTTTTAAAATCTCAATGCAATACACCGAAAAAAATGTTGAAAGAATTACTTTTTTTAACATTATTTTGATTTTCTATATCAGTTGATGATTAACTAAAAATTATACAATTTAATTTTGGAATTTTAATAATTTTTATCATTAAAATTTTATCTTTGATACTTCAACATTTTAATAATGGGATAAGATATTGTGACAACCAAATAATGTCACTACCAATATTACTATCACATCTTAACCGTTGATTTCTGCCAATCAACGATTATCATTTATACCTCATTAATTTATTTTGAAGTGCAAAAACTAAACAAACGTGACAACTAGCTTGAAGAATGAAAAAATAAAGGGAATAACATCTATCCTTTTAAAGGATAGGATATAAATTTATATCCTTTTAAATTTTAACCGTTGATTTCTGTCCATCAACGGTTATAATTTATTGGATTAAAATTATTAATTAATTAATAATAAATTTAGCCCAATAGATTATAACCGTTGAAGGACGGAAATCAACGATTAAGATCTAAAAGGATATAAACTTATATTTTTTAAAAGGATAGATATTTTTTTCAAAAATAAAATAAAAATAATGAAAAGTTCCAATGAAATTATCGGAAGTAGTTTCGGACAGGGCAATGCCATTGTAACATTGTAAGTTGTAACATATTGTTTGTGTTTCTGTTTTTTTCTCTTTCTCTCTCTCTCTTTCTGTCATTCGTTCAAAAGTCTCTTTTGACCACCCCCTCCTTCTTCCCTTCTTCTTCGTCCTTGCTTCTTCCTTTCCTTCATCTCTCTCTCTCTCTTCCTTCTCTATGTTCTAATGAATGATAACTGCTCCCGCGTAATCAAAGTCTTCTTCTGCCTTTGATCTCTCCACAACACTCTTCACCATTTCTCTTCATCTCCGATCATGGGTATCTGTTTCTCCGCTACGAAGGTCAGCGGTTCTAACAGCAACTCCACCAACGCCGCCGGCTCCGGCGGCAATCGCAATCGCAAATCTTCAAAGCCGCAATCAAGGACGTCGGCAACGGCGACGAGGACGACGACGGAGACGGTGGTGACGGTGCATAAGCAACAAGCGTCGAACGGGCAACGGCGGAGAGTGCCGGAGGAGACCCAGAAGAATTCGCAGAACCAAAGACCCAAAGAGAAAACGAACACGCGGCGCCAAGGTGCCCATCTACCGTGCGGAAAGCGCACAGATTTCGGTTACGAGAAAGACTTTGACCAGAGATTCTCCCTCGGGAAATTGTTGGGACATGGCCAATTCGGTTACACCTATGTTGGAATAAATAAAGCTAATGGGGATCGTGTTGCCGTTAAGAGACTCGAGAAAAACAAGGTATTCATCATTCTCTTTCCATTTTCCCAGCTGGGTCTTTGGCTTTATTCTATGTGTTTTGTTCCATGGATTCCACATTTATATTTTGTAATCCTTATGGTTATGTATGTAATGGAATAATGAATTTTTGTTCTTTTCCTCATTTTCTCTCCAATTGTGGTTTTGTTTTGTGGGGGTTCGGTTCTCGAGGTAGTATTGGTTTTGGTGCTGGAGGTTGCTAATTTTGTTTGGACTATGGGATAATAATGACTTTTATTTTTTATTTTATTTATTTAATTTTATTTTGTTTCGTTTATTCTCGAGGGCGATTTTGGAATGCCTTCTGATTCCCCACTGCATCTATTATTATGTTAGATGTTGACCTCGACTTGCTGAAATTTCTGGTGTTGAAGTTCAAATCATTTGTATGGCCGGTTTTTAACAGACATAACAAGCTTTGCGTAGTTATGACTTGTTCTGCAACTTGTATTTTAATCTATTTAGTTGCATATTATAGAAATTAAGCTTAAAAGTTGTTGGCAATTATATCTTTTAAATTCACTTTTTCCCACTATTCCGTTGCGGCATCAGCTGGGGATTGTTATGAAAGTGATAATTAATGCTAGAGAAAATGGTTTGAGTTCAAGTAAAAGTGTGGCAAGGTCATAACGAATCCGGTTAGTGTTATATATGCCTGCATTTGGATTTAAATTAATGTGAAGTATGAGTTTCAAGCTCCTAAGTTATATTCAAGCCCATTTTTAGTAATTTCTTCTTGTTTTTACTCTGCTTTGATTTCGTAAGATATTAATCGTGTACCTGAATCAATCCTTGAATTTGGTGGCAGATGGTTCTCCCCATAGCTGTTGAGGATGTTAAGCGAGAGGTCAAGATTTTGAAAGAACTTACAGGCCATGAAAATGTGGTTCAGTTCTATAATGCCTTTGAGGATGATTCATATGTGTACATAGTTATGGAGTGAGTTACTTTTGTTTTTTTTTTTCTCTTTTTTATGCTGTTTCACCGTGCTAATATGATTTTGACTGGCACTTCACTACAATATGCTCTGGATATATCTTTTTGGAGCTGATTTATCAAATCATTTGTGTTGTGTTTACTATCTATTGTTCCTTTTTATATACATGTATGTTATTATTAAAGTAAACTTCTTGACAATTTACTTTCTTAGGTTATGTGAGGGTGGAGAACTGCTAGATCGGATATTGGCTAAGTAAGTATTGTTTGATCTTGGATGTGATTGATTTTTTTTCCTTGGCTAGGTGGCTCTTCAGAATGTCTACATCTGCTCAAATTTCAGAACCAGGATCACTGATGACTACAAAATTTTATTGTCTGCCAGATTATGTTTTTAGCAGTGTGTTTTTTCTTGTACCAGAACTCACTTTGTCTACCTTTGTTTAAATCAGGAAGGACAGTCGTTATACTGAAAAAGATGCTGCAGTGGTTGTAAGACAGATGCTTAAGGTTGCGGCTGAGTGTCATTTACATGGTTTGGTACATCGGGACATGAAGCCAGAGGTGTGGTCAAGTCCACTGGCATATCTAAGCAAAATATGGAGCTATGTTACTTGACACTAAATTCTTTTATTTTTTCTCTTTGCATGCAGAATTTCCTTTTCAAATCAGCCAGAGAAGATTCATCTTTAAAGGCTACCGACTTTGGTTTGTCTGATTTCATAAAACCTGGTGAGGAAAAATATTTATGTTAATCATTTATTTTTTTCCTTTTTATCCCCCTTTGTATTAGACATGTTCTTGCAATCTTTAATTGAGATTTCTAGTTCTATCTTTCTGGAAACGAATCTTCAGGAAAGAGGTTTCAAGATATTGTTGGCAGTGCTTATTATGTTGCACCAGAAGTATTAAAACGGAAGTCAGGCCCTGAATCAGATGTATGGAGTATTGGTGTGATTACATACATATTGCTTTGTGGGAGACGCCCATTTTGGGATAAGACCGAGGATGGTATCTTCAAGGAGGTATATTTCATTTCTATCACATTCTGAGTTCCTGTAATTTATGTGGGATTTGTTATGTATTTTTTTTTTCTTTAAGAACATAACATGAATAAATCTCTTGCTGTTACGATTAATTTATGATCTTATCTCATGCAGGTCTTACGGAACAAGCCCGATTTCCGTCGGAAACCGTGGCCAACCATAAGTAATGCTGCAAAAGATTTTGTGAAGAAATTGTTGGTTAAAGATCCTCGGGCAAGATTAACTGCTGCTCAGGCTCTATGTATGTATCCAACTGATTTCTTATTATGAGAAGGCTGTTTATTACGTTTTCATGTCTTCTGTCCTTGAAATAATTACATTTTGATCGCTGCCTCAAATTTATAGAATTTGAAAAGCTATGCATATTGCAAAAAGCCATGCCCTCATTTTAGACTTCCTACCCTGCAACCACTTTTTAAAATTTTGCATGAACTCCTCCCCCCCCCAAAAAAAAAAACAAAACTCTGCAAGAGACTGATTTGTATTTTATTGACAAGTGATTATAATTTTTTTTTTCATTGAATATTAGCTTAAATAATCTATATGTTGAATTGTTAAAGTGAAAAAGAAAGAAAGGAGGAAAAAATTGGGAAAAAAGAGAGACTAAAGGACAAAACGAAAAACAACATAATTGCATAATTGATTGCTCATAAACCAAAAAGACCATAGGTAAATTATCTTAAAAAGAATAAAAGGGGGAGTTAACTGTTGCTGCAATATGAAACAGTCAAAAAGTAAATTTACAGTCAATAAACTGGTTATCTATAAGGAGATAAAAATCATCCTTACATATTATTAAATAGCTAGAGCCGCTTAACACCTTCTATGCTAATTGTTCAGCCACTCTGGTTTTGCTGAATTAATGCAGCAGTTTTTCATAGAATTTTTGTTTCAGTTCGGACACAGTGAACATGCTAAATGGTGTTTCCTGCAGAGTTTTCTCAATTTAACAATGAACTGAGAGACTGAAACACACCCGTATACTAACTGTATAAATAATTCCTTTACTTTTCAAAAAAAACGAAGCTGTTGAGTTGTATTAATTAACTCTGATATTTCCAGCACATCCATGGGTTAAAGAAGGAGGAGAGGCATTGGAGATTCCTATTGATATATCTGTCTTGAACAACATGCGACAGTTTGTGAAGTATAGTCGATTGAAACAATTTGCACTGAGGGTAAGAATACAAAATAATTCAAGCTTTTGCATGTTAGTAGTCATGGAACTTGCTTGACATCGATTTTTTGGTCACTTGATTATCTTGCAGGCATTGGCTAGCACGCTTAATGAAGAAGAGTTATCTACTCTAAAAGATCAGTTCGATGCAATAGATGTGGACAAAAATGGTTCTATTAGTCTTGAAGAGATGAGACAGGTAGCCCATTAGTTAACTGCTTCCTGTCTATATTAAATCTACACATATCACCTACTATATGAATAGTGAGTAATTAACCCCTTGAGGATAGTTTTCCCTGCTTTGGTCTAAAGGGTAGATTTTGTGCAGGCTCTTGCTAAAGATCTCCCTTGGAAGTTGAAAGAATCACGTGTACTAGAGATATTACAAGCGGTGAGTATCTATGATCCTTTGCAGGCACCACAGTTTTGGTGGCTACTTATCAGCCCTTATTCCACTTTTGAAATTTGAACGATATGGAGTTTCTTTGGTGTTTGATGATATATATATATATATATATATATATATATAGTGACAATAGATGTTGCTTCCCCTAATCACTATTATCCATTATTGCTGTTCTTATCCTACTCTGCCTTTGGCACTACAATCTGCACATTCTTTGCCATGTAAAAATGCTATAAACCACTGTCTTGAGTGCTTGCAGATAGACAGTAACACCGACGGGTTAGTGGATTTCACTGAGTTTGTAGCAGCTACGTTACATGTGCATCAATTAGAGGAACATGACTCTGACAAGTGGCAGCATCGGTCACAGACTGCTTTTGAGAAATTTGACTTAGATAAGGATGGCTTTATTACTCCAGATGAACTTAGAATGGTTGGTCACATGTCTTTACTCAAGCTCCCTGAACACTTTTTATGATAAAAATATTTGTAATATCCGATACATATTTGCTGCAACTGATATCACCTTTTGGTTTTTTAGCATACGGGTTTGAGAGGCTCCATTGATCCATTGCTTGAGGAAGCCGATATTGACAAAGATGGAAAAATCAGCTTACCAGAATTTCGTAGACTTCTAAGAACTGCAAGCATTGGTTCTCGACATGTAACAAGCCCAGCTCGCCATCAGCGGAAGATCTAGATTAGACGTATTTAAGAGCTGAGATAATTCAGGATATGAGATTGGTGGATTTCCTTTAAGATGGTCTCCTGTGCAGATTGTGCTGAAGCCCCTAAGATATCTATTATGCAGATTTTGCTCTCTCTGGCCATTCTATGGAATACTAAAACTCCAGTTATATTGACTATGGCATCCCGCACAGGACACTATCTTAAGCTTAGTCTAGGGGACTATGTCAAGAGGTGTTTAATTGAGTGTGTAGACCCTGCATGATTGGCTTCAAGTATCAGTGTTTCATCAGTGTACATCATTCAAGTGTCAGGGTTTTCTGGGCTTGCTCGTGTCTTACATGCAATGTGTAATTATAAATAAAAATGTTCTACTCGAAAAAAAAAAGTCCCACAAATAATTGTCAAATGAAATATATTTAGATTTTCATTATTACTTTTTTTTTATATTTATTACTCTCCAATACCGTTAGATCAGAATATCAATTAATTTTTATTATTTCTCTTTTTTCTTGAGATTATGATATAATAATATTAGAAAGGGGTAGACATAGGTAGAATAATTTATCCTTTTCTTTTTTTGCTCCTGAAAAAAGCAATTGTGGCCAGCTGTTTTTACTAGTTGTTGTTCAAAGAGGAGTCAAACGACATCATTGAATCATATTGTTTGGTTAATGAATATGACATACATATATGATGGTTTTCTTAACACCTACGTATATTAAAATGACAATCATATAATGTGATGAAGCGAAGTTATCTTATACCGGTCAAAATGAATTGCAAGACGAGTGTGTCTCGCGAGTAGGGGTGAAAGTGGGCTGAGCAGGGCTAAACTTTGTCCCGAAAAGTTCAAGCTTACGTCAAAAAATTTCAATTTGGCCTGACTCAAGTCTAGTACAAGTCTAATTGTTAGCGTGACTTGGCCCGTTTATGAAAAAATAAATGGCCTGGTCTAGTCCGTTAGCCTGTTAATTTTTAACTTCCAAGCAGAACCATGAATCAACTTTACAAAATACTCAAATTCTGTTGTTAAACCAAAAATCATAATTTCAACATCCAAACAGAATCATGAATTACAACAAAACCATACAATCTGCCTTTAAGTCATTTTCAAAAACAAAATGCTCAAACTAAATAACATATATTTTATTAGAACCAAAAAACAAATCTATACCATGTAAATTAAAATAATTACATGAATCTGACAAATACATCATGATGCTTGTAGTAAGTATAATATCTCCCAAAAACCTTTTAATATATTCATATACACAATCTAAAATGCAGAGATGTTGGTTCTTCCTACATAACAAATAAAGTCAGATTTCTATTAAAATATAATCGAATATAATTAAGTTATAAATAATTGCAATTGATTAAATTTATATCTTATATTTTTTCTTCAAGACATACTTATTCTATTTTATTTTATTTAAAATAAATAGTACAATATAGGCCGGCTGGTAGGCTTATAGACCAGGCCTTGTGAAAGTGGACCTACGGCCTTTATTAAACAAGCTTTTTCAAGGCCAAAGCCCGACCTATTTTACGAAATATACTAGGTCAGATCTAGCCTGATGTAGGTCGAGCCGTAGGCCTCTGTAAGCCGGCCCGACCCAGTTTCACTCTGCTCGCGAGTAATGAATATGGGAAGAGAAGAAGAGGTGATGACTAACGAGGGTTTCGATTTCAGTTTCAGATTCAGCAGTGGACAAGAGTGCAGTGGAATCTGACATTACGCTCCAGATTTTATTTGAAGCAGTGTTTTACATGGTTTCTATACTATATGTATCAATATATCTATCAGGTGGTTATTATTTGGACATTTTTAATCGAAGTGTTTATTATAGTTTCAGTAATTTATTTCATACAATTCGAAAATTCTTTCATGCTATTTAGCGGTACTTAGTTAAACAAAACTTTAAAGCCTGTTTGATGAATTTGATAATATAACAAAGTCTGATAGTATTAAATAGATGAAAAGGCTTTACTCTCAGTTGTTTGGTCATTATACAAATACCAAAATGTGATGATAATAGTAAGGAAAATATTTGATGATAGTATAATAAAGTCTGATAGTAATAATCTTTAGAGGGTTGAATAAAAATTTATTCAGATGGAGCCTGCAAAGCCACAAATGATTCCTTTTCTGCTGGATCTGGTGGTTAAATCGTGGATATTCTCAGCCAGTTACACTAGAAAACTGGGAAACACAAATGCCTAGGTGGCTGAGGTTAGGGGTGCATTTGAAAGTCTTAAACTGGCTTGGAAATGGGGATATAGGTGTATTCAGCTAGAATTTGACTATAAATTTCTGGTTACTTTACTAACAGGTGCAGGACAAAGTACTGCATAATTCAGAAAGTTAAGAGATTAAGAGCATGCTGACTTAGTAGCAAGTTAAAATTCAGAATATTTTTGGGGATGGTAACCAATGTTTTGATGCATTGGCAACCATGAGCTTTACTCAAGACACTTTAGTTGCCTACTGGGTGTCACTTGAGGGAGATTCTGATTCTCAACGCAGAGTGTGTGTTGTGTAGTTTTTCTGTTCCTTTATGATAACAAGATAAAGTGAATTCATCACAAATCTCTCATATTTTAGATACACTTGTATGTTTGTATCAGAGTTTAATAGTGTTGAGATATATAGTCTCACGTTGATTGTATGAGCATCTAATGTGGAGTTTATAAGGGCTTGGACACTCCCACCTTTTGAGCTAGCTCTTGGGGTGGTGTATCCCAATGTTCTTTACATGGTTTCTTAGCACACGTAGGCTGAGCCTGTTGCATTGTCCACTCTTCAAGCCCAATAGACTCTGTGAGGAGGCGTGTTGAGATATATAGTCCCACATTGATTATATAAGCAACTAATGTGGAGTTTATAAGGCCTTAGACACTCTCACCCTTTGCAGTGGCGGAGCCACGCGAAATAATCAGGTAGTGCCAAATTTGTTTTTTTTAATAACCAAATTTTTATTATTTTTCTTGTTCGGCCAAGTAATCAATTAAATACTAGAAAGAAGAAAGAATATTATAATATAAAAAAAGGAAAAGTGAAAAAAATTCAATTCTTAAAATAAGTAAAAAAAGAAATTATTAGACATAATTTGGTATCATTATCTTGATTTCTTAATAATTCTTTTACAAACTACAATTTACAATATTAAAAAATTCTTATTACCGACAAAGTGGTAGATAAGCTCATAGAAAATCTAAAGTTTTTTAAATTTTAATTTTTTTGATGAAAAATGGGGGCCTAGCCCAGAAACAAACATGAAAATTAAGGAAACCAACAAACAACAATATACTCATATGAATGCCACGTGTCCCATGAAATTGTCCATCTTCTCCTTCTTCATCTTCTCCTACCATCTACCCCAAGAAACCCCACCACTCTTTCTCTTAGCTAACTACTCAAATTTTCTCAAAACTTATTATATCCTTTTTTATGACTCTATGTAAAGTTCGAATCTTTAGCAAAAGAAGAACAAGACTTGAAAACTTTTTTCACAATCATTTTTTGAAACCAAGCCAGTGCCCAGGAAATTTCTTGTGTTTATCCCTACAAAGATTACAATGGGCAGTGAATCATTTCTGAAAACCATGCCAATGCCAAGGCACTGGCTGGTCTCAACATGGCTACGTTGTTTATCCTTTGAACTAGTTTTTGGGATAGTGTATCCCAAGATTCTTTACAAATAAAAAATATAGTAGGAGGCAAGTAATTAAAGTAAGGGAAATCGTTTGGTCATGTTATTGGAAATCCACGGTTGTTTCCTGCAGACACATCGATACTTGTGTACCACTTTTTTATTTTTTGTTTTTTTATAAAAATTGGTGGGACCCACTTGTAATGTGAGGGTGAAATGATAGAAGCTCAGTCCTGTGACATAATATTCATGAATCCCTTAGGTAGTGTTTGGTTGGGGAGAAGTGAAAATTTTGCTAGATAAGTGCATGTAGGAATCTGATGAAACTATGTTTGGTTGAAGCTTTTAGGTAGATTTTCCTATCAAAGAGCTTTGCCTAGCAAATTAGGAAGACAAGCAAAAAACCAGTTTTTGCACTGTTGAGAAAGTCATTTAAACAGGTGGAATTGTTATGAAAAACTGGATAACTGAAAAAGGTGATCAAGGGCATGACAACTTTATCCCTGTTTTTTATTGACACAATGAAGCTGCATAAAAGTTTATCCATGCATGAGTCAGTACCATAGTAGAAACAAGCCAGTCAATACCCCCAGTATGATCCTAACATATAAGCCGAAAGTATATTCTAAGGTCAATGGATGTCAATCAACTGCATACCTTCAATATGACTAAAAGTTGTGTTAATTGCCGCGAGCCATTTATCTGTTTCACCTTGCATCCGTTCTATAAGCATTCTCCTTTTATGATTCTCAGTTAATTTTGTTTCGTGGGCTCGACCTTCGGCCTCAACCATTGCCTTAACGCTAATGGTCTCTCTTTCTATTTCAGCTTCGTGCGATGAAGCTGGCCGCTCGGAGATAATAAAATTGTAAAGAGGACCTCACTGCACATGTCCGACAAAAAGAATCTAGAATACATGTTGGAAAATGCATTATATTTACTAAAAGGTTAATTTCGTAATTGTCATTATTTTTCCCATCAAAGATTTATTTTCAACCAAACACACATCAGGATATTTAACCCAATTTTCCTAGTAATATTATGTACTACCAAACAACTTTTTTTAAATTTTCCTACCAAACTAACTTTCCAATGTCTTTCCTTGTAATTACATATACCCACTTTAAAAAAATTTCTCCCGAACCAAACACTACCTTAAAGTAATTAAACATGGATGGAATGCAATCGTATTGGTAGCATCACTGTTAAGGTATCTGACTCTTTCTAGCCACATAGAAACATAGATAGAAAAATATGGAAAAATGCTACAGCAGCTCAAACTAAAAAAGACGTAATTAATTTGATCATCATCTAGTCCAGCTTGATTCACTGGATTAATTATATTTGCCATATTATTGCAATAACATCATATAGTTTAGGTATAGAAACTATAACTGGATGCGTCCGCAACAATATTCCTCAAGCCACCAACCGTGGATGCCAACATAATGCACACTCCTATATATATTGAAGCCTGAAAAAACTCAAATTAGAGTCAACGCATACAGTAAACAACTCAGTGATCCTCTGGATTTTGTATTCTATTTTAGACCGTTTCATATGATTATTTTAAAGGAAAAATTGCTGGTCATTACCCAATTGATGAACCAGCTGGTGCTGAATCTCTTTGGCTTCTTGATTATCAGCCACATAATACTAGGAAGCTGAAATAATTGATGACCCAAATTATTGATCTTCTGGTTTTTGAATTAATTCTTATAAATTTGGGAATTTAATATGAGCATGGGGAAATTGAGAGGGCAAGATAGTCTTACAAAATATGAAGTGGGAGCAAAACCAAATCCACCAAAGAACCCAAGAAGATCGCCAAAGAAAGGGAAAGTCACCCCAATGAATAATGTAAAAGCTGAAACATTTTAACAAACTATGGTAACATCAACATTTTTCATGGAAAGAACAATTCTTGTACCCCTTACTCTTCTCTTTACTACTAAAAATAACAATAATTTGGAGAGATAGCACGGATTAGTTTTGAGTTTTGACATCTCACCTACATAAGCAGATCGAGCAACAAGTCTGAGTGCTAGTCCTGGAGGGAAGTTCAATCTTTTAATCATCATCCTCTCAATCAAGTCAAAAACAGGCATAGCATAAACCTAGAATTCATATTTTCCATACCAATCAGGTGAGAAACATGACTAGCTTAATTTGGGGTAACAATTTTTTGGTTTTGCATTCATACCTGGTAACTACCAACAACATGGATGAATACCATCAAGTTAGCAGAGGCAATGAGCCATGCAGGCCTTTCAAGTGCCATAAGAACATTATCATCCACAGCTTGTCCAAAAGCCCAGTATCCTATAAGTGCAACTGGGAAATAGCATATTGCATTGATGAAATAAGAAGCAATAGCACCTTTCCACATTGGCCCCATTGAGGGTTTCTCAGGGGTTGATGGAATTGTAGCCTGAATTTCAAGGGCCACTGCATGGCCAGCAAATGCAAATGAGATTAGACCAAGTGCATTGAAGACCCGGAACACGAAGTCAATTGTGCTGGTTTTCTTGTAAGCATAGCTAACATTGTCAATCTGACCTCTAGTTAAGCAAGCCACCCAGGCTATAGTTGAATAGCTGCAGACAAAACCCCATAAAAGTAACGTATAATGCTTTTGAAATAATAATAATTTTATTTTCACTTGTGCGGATATAAAATGTCAAACTAGCTCAACAAGCACTCAAGACTGATAGCTAATCAAGTTCCAAAACTAGTGTTCTAGAATAGACTAGGCATGTGAGATCATTAAGTACCTTAATGACATCACAGCTGCTGCTAAAGAAACACCAGAAACAGAATTGAAATTGGGAAGCTGAGACAGAAAAAATTGGATGGAACCAAAAATCAGAATCCAGTAAGACTGCTTGAGTTGAGTGCAATTGGTGCATGTTATCTCCATGAACTTCTGTAGACACTTCCCCCCAGTAACCATGTAAACAATGTCACACCCAACCTGGACAATTAGTTGCTGGGGGAGTACCATCCACAGTCCAAGTTTTGGTCCAAAAGCATGTCGACCAAGATCAAGATATCGATCAAAACGAGTTCCTGGAACACACTCATGTAGCTGGATCATTTGCCGCATTGTGTTTAAGGTCAAACACCATGATAACAACAACATCAAGATCCCTGGACCCCTGCAATGAATATAAAAGATAATTAAATTTTAGCTGCAAATTTGTCAAGTTGCCAACTTTTGTGGTGGGTTGAAGCTACTGTCGTCCAATTTACCATCCAAGATATGCCATGGCATAGGGCAGGCTGAGAACACCTGCACCTACCATGGCAGTCACTGTGTGGAAAGTTGAGTACCACCATTTGGCATGACGAGAGGGTCCATTGTCAACCCTTTTTTCATCTGATTGAACTTCCTGCAACTGTAGAGGATGCAAAAACAGTAAGAGAATTAGTACAAGAGGAAGAGCATGGCTATGCCAAGAGATTACAGATATACACTGGAATGGAATTACCTTGGAAGTTAGAGAAGGAGCAGAGACCATTTTAGCCAACTCAACTACAGAGCAGAGAAAGAGGACCCCCTAGGATTTTGGAGTTGAAATGAAGTAAATCAGTTATATATATGTGTAAAAAATTTTGATGCAAAAATGATAAACATCTGCATCCTACCACCTAGCGATTTTCTTGCCACTTATGCACTTGTTTTTGCTGCTTATAGGAGCCTGTGACTTTGAATCAAATCAAAACAAGAGAAGTTGGCTGAATTCAAAGAACAAGTTTGGGAGACACAACAAGTCTCGCTAGATAAGTGGCAAGATGAGGTAAACATATGGAATTATTATATTCAAATCCTGCCCAGTTACAATGTAGGAAACCTATAGAGTGTAGAGTAATATTTTTCTTTGTAGACTTGTTTTATCAAAACGAAACTCCAGAGAATCATTTTTACGAAGGAGCATCACTTCATTTAATCATTTTATGGTGGTAATAGGGGGGCAACATAGGAAAAATGCGGTTGATTTTGTCCCATAAAGAGGTTAAGTTAAAATTTAGAAGTTAATAAAGTATAAACAATAACGACATTTGACATTCATATGATATGATCAAAGTAAAAGTAAAAGTAAAACTTTTGAAAGATTGTAAAGAGGCACTTGAAGGTTATTAAAATGATAGTATTTGATTTAATTTATTTTTAAAAAATATGGTGGGTTATATTTCATTATCGGTGAGTTGCGAATTAAATTTGTTGAAAGATACCTTGGTTGCATTTAAGTGTTTCGGTTACTATATTGATGGCTCACAAATATGATTTTAATAACTATTATTTTAATAAACTAATATGTTGGGTATTATGAATTTATCTCTATTATAAATTAAAATGTATATTTTAAGAAGGAATATTAACGGCAATATCTTATGATTATTATCTAATATATATCACTATCTGTTATTATCTAAAGTTTGGTAGTTATATGTTCTAGTAGGTATTCATTGCTTTCAATTTTTATAGATTTGGTATTTGGTCCAACTTTAAATATACGGTATAATATGTTTAGGTTGAGCTTTTTTTTATAAAAAAAATAAAAATAAAAAATAAAATTGTACTCACCCCAAATTCCTTGTGAGCTTTATGCTGTGTACAAGTGCACATGATCATGGCTCATTCATGATTCTTAGCCTGACTGATGAAATCGGTAGGCATTTGAAGTAACTGTTGCCCCCATGAAAAGCCATTTTAATACACTGAAGAGGAAGTGTGAATTAAAATGGTTTAGGTATTCGTATTAAAAAGGAGGTTTAGTAGCTATTACAATGACATTGGCTTTCTTTTATTTAAAAAAAAAACACTAATTACTTACTGCACCCAATGGAGGGATATAAAATGAACAATTAATTGATATGACTTCAAATTTAATTAACCAAATGATTTAAGTAAATATATGCAGTGGTTCAAACACATTGTTTAGGGAACATGTTTGTTCTAATAAACTTCAACCAAAAAAGATAACATTCCCACAACCACAACCTGTTCTTGAGTCTCAGATAAGACATTACTAGCTAATAAATTTCGAAAGGGATGCAGTTTCTCTACCTTCCACTGTTGATGATGATATCTGATTGTCAAAAACAAAAAGAGCAATCTTGGAATGCATCCAAGAGGAAAAATTATAGTGTTATTCTAAGAGCATTTGTCTTCCAGGTTAGTTCTATCATGCAGGAAGATGTCCCACATCGACAACCGAAAGAAGACCCAGTGAAAAGATTCAAATATATATAGGCATGAAAGAAGGATGGAAAATTAAAAAGGGTCGGTTGGCTAAATATGCCACGCTCACCCTTGTATGGTGAGTGCTGTATGGCTATCAAGACATATGGCCGACATAATTTGTGGGAATCAAAAAGGGTTGGCTCGCTTGGCCGACCCTCCAATTTCAGTTCAAATTTTGCCTGAAAACATACGAATGACTTTAAAACAAGAAAAAATTATATACCGAAATGCAAATAAAGGCGCTTGAAAACACAATAATAAATGAGATACTAATGCGAGCAGAAATAACCGCATTAAAATGTTAGAACACCCCTGACAATTCTGTTCTATTGCTTACTTTTATAACACAAACCGATGAGTCGCCAATAACAAACAGATGAGTCGATGACCAGAACTCAGCTGACAAGACTAAGTAATTAAAACCAGCAATGCTAATTATTTACAAGAATCATAGAGTCAAAATTCTGCAGTTTACGGAATACCGCTCAGAAACCTAAAAGCAAAATAATTGAAAATTACTAGTAGCCAACCATGTATTGGCATCCATCCAGAGACTTCAAGCTCATATTTATGGCATATACACACCATAAGGCGTCCCACTTTCCATTCCTGATAGAACCATAAAGCTTTTAGTGGCCCCAAAATTTTTGTAGCACGAATATGATGCATTGTCTTCCATAACTGACCTCACGAAATGTGACGCATGCATCTAATATTAAAAGCTAAATATTTCGTAAATGGAAAATTGAACCAATTTTAGGTATGAGTCACTCAAGTGAATTTTCTAGAAAGATCGATATCTTTTGTATAACTAGGCATTCACAAACACCTTATAAATTCAATTATTGATCAATTTATCAACTTGACTTTTACAACCAATACATAGACTTTAACAATTATTTTTCTATAGGAATATTGTGTCGAGTTTGTAAAATTGAGTTGTTGAAAGTGGCAACTTTCGTATTAAATTAAAAGTTGGGGGGCTATGTGCAGGGCTTTATTTGAGGTGCCCATGATGCACAAACTCGTCAGAAAGAACATTTTCTAGTTGAAGCGGAAAAAAACAAGAAAGTTCAAAACCCTGAAGATGATCAATTCGTGTAAACAACTCATCTGCATATGCATAGTAGCTAGTATAATGTAATGGAAGAGAGCGAAAGGCATTGTCTGTCACGGCGAAGCATGTTTGGCTTGCACCCATCCACTTACTGAAGTCAAGAAAAATATCCATACATAGATTCCTTTTTCAACACTCTGTTGTTCCATGAATTGAGATATTTTTTTGCTACTAATAAGTTTTATTTTAATTAGTTTACTTTTATTTTTAGTGACTAATAATTAGTTATTGGAAAATAGAAGTATAATGTTGAAGGAAAGTTGTTAAGTTATGTTATAGAGATAGAGTTTGTGGGACCACACTTGTTTTGTTTTTTTTGTTTTTTGAAAATAAATGTGGGTCCCACAATTTCTATCTCTATAATATAACTTAACAATTTTTCTATAATATTATTCTTCTTTTTCCCTTGTAGTCAAACATTTTTAAGTAGTAAAAGGTTAACTCTTTAAATAGATAGTCTTTATAACACAGAATAAATTTATGTAAAAGAATAAAATAACATTGAAAGGCATAATCTCAAATTAAAGATCAGCATATAGTCGTTAAGATTTGATAGTGAGATTCTTCATGGTTTATTAGAGAAAATGCGTAGATATTTTTTGTTGGATTGAATTTGAAAGTATAATTACTTCTTTTTACTGCAGAGTTTTTTTTTATTATTATAATGAAAAATAGTTTCCTCAATGCCTTAAATATAAAATTTTCTGAACCACAGTGTGTTATCCAAGTGACTACCAAGAATGTAAGTAAGAAGCTGAAAATAACCCTAGAGGGGGTGAATAGGGTTATCTAATTTTTCTGCAATTTTACAATCACAAAGAAACAACTTTTCCAAGTTCCAACTTAGTTTGCTTACACTGCTTTATTACTTTGATTAAAAATAAAAAATAAGAATTGCTATTCCAAATTAACCAAGTATAGTAGCAGTATGTAAACACTTGAATTTCAGAAATTTTCCAACATAAAAGATATAGGCAGCAGTGGTAACTCAGACCAATTTTAAAACAAATATCAGAGTTATCAATTAGGCAGCAACAACAAATTTAGATTTCAGCTTAAAAGTATCAAAGAAGGTAATATAACAAAGAGTATAGGAAATAGAAGATGACATAGGTATTTATCCTGTTTCACACCTCTAAATTCAATGAGGTGCTACATCCAGTCCTAAGGCAACATGCTCTTGGATCTTCTTCCACTTAAAAAAAATTATAATATTCAATTACAACTTATTTTCAAACCAGAAAAATAAACTCTCACAAAATATACAAGTTGATTCCAACTGATAAACCTTTAGTTTAATTTGTTTTATAGACTAAAATTACATTAATTATCAAGTTAAATGAGTGAAAACTAGGGTTTATTGACATAAATACATGAACTTACGAATTATGAATTAAATAATATATATTTGCTTATTTTGAAGGTAATTGATGATAAACGGATGCAAATATGCCACTTGGAGAGATGGAGATCAAGAATTGAAGATATGAAGATCTTATTTGAAGAAAAAGAAAGAAAATCAAATTCTTGAAGAGGAGACTTAAGCCTCCAATCTGAGGCTTAAGCCCCCAAATACTCCAAAAAATTGCAAAAAGCCATTGCCTGAGGGCGCTTAATTCCTCAAATTCAGGCTTAAGCGCGCTATAAAGGAGAACTTCTGATTCGAAGTGGGCGCTTAAGCCCCCAAATTCAGGCTTAAGCGTGCCACATGAAAACAGCATGTGTAATCTTGGAGGCTTAAGCGCCCCGAATGAACCAACTTAGGCCCATTCAAGGTATCCACCCAGGGCACAAATTCTTTGCCCTTAAAAACACAATTTGGGGCAGAATTACAAAGTTTTTCATATTCTTTGATCATTCTTGGAAATTGGAGGCAAAGGGGAAGCGGAGGAAACACCAGTTCATGTTCGTGAGAGGCAGAGACGGATCAGAATCAAGTCTGCACTGGAGATATTGAAGGTTCACCATTCAACAATGGAGTTTGGGGAAGCTTTTCTATTTTCTTTCTTTCTTTCTTGATTTCGCCATGTCCGGCTATGTTTTCATAGTAGTTAGGGTTAGATGGAACTCAATTAATTTGTTATGTTTTGAATTATTCTTGATGTTGATTTTATTTTTTATCATGAATGAAATTGTGTTTTCTTAATGCCTTCTATGAGCTTGAATCTTGTAGATTGATCCTAGGTAAATGTATGGCAATAGGAATGTTGGTGCATGATATTTATCTGACAATTTCATCGTAATCCTTATGATTATAGGGATAGACATAGGGTTTTGCGCAATCTTGAGATTCTTGAACTTAATGTTTATTTTTTTTGGGAATAACCGGGAAACTAGGGTTTTTGCAAGACTATAAAGAATTAAGGTAACAAGGAATTGAGCCTTAATTAACTTAGAAAGAATCGATTGAATTGATATTAAGGATGATTAATTTAAAGAAGGAACTCGAACATAATAGAGAGCTTGAGGAAAATCGAAACCCTAGTTACGTTTTTTTTGTCAATTAATTCAAATCTTTAAATTCTTGTTTTTAATTCTTGCTTTCAATTAGTTTTAATATTTTAAATTCCAAAGCAACCAGCTTAACAAGGCTATTTAAGCCTTAGCAAAACAGAACCAGATTACTAAAGAGCTTATGACAGACTTAATCAAATCAAAATATATTAATGTCGCTTGCTTTCTAAGTGATGCAGCAATATGGCAGATTTTGACTACTCATAAAATTTACTACTTAAATTTCAATAAGCAATTCAGGACAAACCAGCCATAATTTTATTTTATTTTTTGGAGTAAAATATCTTTTGGGTCCCTAACAAAAAATACGGTATTCATTTTTCGTCCTTTATAACAAAAAAAGTTACCCATATTAGTCGCCTTTTTAGGGACTAAATTGGGTTTTCATTGAATTTCGGAGGGACTACATTTCAGAGGGACCAAAAATTGATTTTTTGTGTGTGTAAGGGACGAAAGTGGAGACCGTGATTTTTATTAGGGGCCCAAAAGGGGCATTACTCTCCTTTTATCACTTATCAAATAGAACAGGTATTGCAATGCATTTTAAAAGTTTATCGAAATAGCACATAACAAGTGATAGGTTGCACGCATCGTTTAAACAACAGTTCTCAAAATAGAGCATCCATAGTGTTTCTTTCTTTTTTCTTTTTTTAAAGAACACTGAGAGGAATATTCACTAATATAGAGCTATTTTTTTTATTATTCAAAGAACACAAAGAACGGATCAGATGAATACCAACCTCACAACATTTTAGGAAAATATTCATTACGATTTTTCAAGAAAAGGTAGATTCAAAATTTCAATCAATGAAATAAAAGAAGAAATAAAATTGAAATACACAAGATACATACAAGAAGATATCTTTGAAATCAGCAAATGGTTAGATCACACCTTGAATAAGCCAGACGAAGAAATCAGAAAAGCACAAGGAAGTGTTACTCCTTCTCACGACCAACAAGGACGGCCCTCACTTTTCATCCTTCTTTGTGATCTCAGTAGAGATCTTTTTCTTCGATCTAGGTCCTCCTTTTCTTGATTCTCTTCTTGCACTCTTCTTCCTCTTGATTTCATGTTTATGCTCTTAATCTCTTTCTTTTACTATTGCTGAAAATTTTTCTTTCTCGCTCTCTCTTTCACTTTTTCTCTATATTTTCTCTGCTAGGTTTTTCACGTTCTCCAAAAAAAATTGAAAAGAAAAATAGTGTATCTTGATAAGAATAGTTGAGTAAAGTGATTTAGGGAACAAAAGGTTAAATGGGTTTTTTCTATTTTTCTTAACTTTGGGCCCACTAACATATATTTAAAGGACAACAACATATTTTTATATTACTACTATTTATTTATTTGTTTATTTTTACAAAAAAACTAATTACATTATCTAAGAAAGTGCATCTTAATATAAAAAACTATTAACAAGTTAAACAGAATTTAATTTCACTCATACACAAATTATATCCACATGATGCAATCCTATAAGCAAGCTCACGATATAGAATTAATTTATTAAGCTTGATTATAGGCTATAAAA